TCTCTTTAGCACAATCTTCCTTACTCTTTATTCCTGAAATTCCTTCAGAAAACATTTYACCAACTTCTTGTCTATTCCATTTTATTTTCATGCACTTATTAAAATTAATTTTTGCCAAATTAATTCAATTACATTCCATTTTTATACTTACTATGAGAAATTCATGTGACTATAAGATAATTTTCCTGCCATTATCTATTATACATACTCAATGGAGATTGAATCAGGCCATGTAATTACCACTTCTTAGTTCCTAACAATCCTATGACAGTCGCTATCATAAAACTTATTTCCCAGTGGGCACCTGAGGTGCTGCATTAGGTTTTGGAAGCATATTACAGTCCCAATATGAAAAATAATGAATTACTATGCAGTGTGTTCCTAAAAATATAATTCCAGATTTAATTTTTCAAATGTCAAAACTACTATATAGAAAACTGACACCATTTTTAGCTTCTTGACTGATTGAAGGGTGTATCAAAACCACAATGCCAAATCTTTTTCTCTTCCAGTTTCTCTTTATAACCACGATCACATCAGTTTGATAAATCATTTTTTTACTTATAAATTGTGGATAATATTATATATGATCCTTATTTTCTATATGTCATATATYAACTTGTAAATTTCACAATATATATGGTTTCAAAATTAATAACCACTCCAGTTTTCTCTTCTATTAAGACTTAAAATAGATTTTCAAAATCTGAATATATCTGCATTTTGAATTCTTTAGAGTAAGTTAACATGTTATTGAAATTCTTGACAGGACTTTTAATCATTGCAGATTCACATAATAATTTTGTGAATGATATTAAATAAAGGGTACTGTTCCTTTTCCTATGTCCATGACTTAAACTTTCTAATGTGATTAATAAAGTATATTTCATGGGGCTTTTACTCCAGTGGGTAGGATATGTTAGCAACTGAGGGAAAGGAAGGAAAGCTTAAAGAAAACAGAAGTCAAGGAAAATTCCCACTTTCCATGTGAATACTCCTTAGAGGGTCAAGAGATTAACAAATACTGAATGTCCCCACTGGAGATGAGGAGCATGAATTTGCTCTTAAATTGACTTCAGAGTAGAGATGCCAAAGCAAATAAATCACTGCAAGTGACTACTTTAAAAGGTAAATGGTCTTTAAAAATATGCATGTAGGTTAAATTTTTTAATCGGTAATATTCATTACTGTCAGGTATGATAAGGGTACTTGTCCATCAGAAGCTGGAGAGCTCCTCCAGGTACATGATTCATTATTTCTAGATCAATGCCTAGTGCAGCAGACACCCCCCAAAATGTTTCTGAATGAAGAAAAATAAGCTCAAGTTTCAACATGCATCACCTAAAACAGAAGTATTCATTTGAACAAGTGCCACAAATTCTTAGATTCCTATAATCCATATACATTTTTTATCAATAAGAATTCCCAAATGATGAGCAAATTTGAATGCCTATCTGACCCAGATATTCAAGCCATTAAAAGAAAAAATACAGAACCAACTTCTATTTCCTAGGACGCCTTGCCCCTAGCCAAGTTCATCCTCAGAGACGCTCTTTCACTTTGTATTATCATTGTGGTATTACTTACAACCCTCAAACCATCTATTATTTTGAGAGCCAGCCGAGTACAGGATGCCTATAATCCCTGTGACTGTGAGGCTAAGACAGGAGGATGGCAAGTTCCAGGCTAGTCTCTGCAACTTAGAGAGACCTTCAGCAATTTAGAGAGACCCTGACTCAAAATAAATAAAAAATTAAAAGAAGGATTGAGGGTGTAGTTCAGTGATAAAAATCATCATCATCATCATCATCATCATCATCATCATCATCCCTGGGTTCATTCCCAAACAACAAACAAAACCAGCACTTGTGCAGATCACATTTCTCTATCCCCTTTTCTTTTTTGGAAATCTTCTGTAACTGAGGTAAAAAGACTTCAATCACCCCTGCAAACACCCACCCCACCACCACCAAGTGATTGGAGTCACATTTTGGATAGGTAAATATGGAGGATAGATAAGATATAACCTAATCGTTTTCCTCAAATTTCACTACATATAAAACTCTGATCATACATCAACAATGGCTTTATCAGACTACAAACAGAAGTTCCCAGAACATTCATGTCACTCAGGCTTTGATCAACCAGAAAGAAGTCACCTAAGTGAACTTAACTTATCCATATACCCAGTTTCCACAATGGAAATGGCAGTCTCCAAATCCCAAGTTAAGGGAATGGCAGCACTTGAGAAATGAAGCCACGACCACACAATTAAGAGGCAACAAGAGTGAAGCACACAAAGTGTAGAGGGGGTGGATCTAGCAGTCTGCCTATGTCCAGGAGGTGGGCGTGGCTCTGYCTCAGCTTCATGGATTGGCTCTGGTGTGGTGAGTCTCCTCAACAGGGCAAACTTTTCCGTTGTCCCTGCAGGATATACCAGATCAGAGTCATCCTGTACTCCAAAGGGAAAATGACCCTCAGGATGCCCCTCTCCTCCAAGTTCATTTTTAGAAACCTCCAGAGAGATTCAGAAAGTACTGGACTAATCTAATACCATGGTGGCTGCTAAATAGTAACTTGGCTGAGAGCAGAGAAGGGTGAGATGACAAAAAGGGTCCGAGAAATGGAGCGAGTCAGAAATGACTGTTCTGTTAGACTAGAAATGAAATACGGCCACTTGTACTTTGAAGAATGCCACTACCAGTGATTGTTTCACTGACAGCTAATAAAAAGAGCTAACTCATTGTATGCTTACCATCAGCTGACACGATTCCAAGGGCTCTACATGCATTATCTTATATAATCCTCAGGACAATTCTAAGAGGTAGAAATTACCATTGTCATTCTGATTCCATAAGAAATGGAAACCTAGAGTTAAGTAATTTCCCAAAGTAATTCAGCAAATAGTGTCTGAGCTGGGGCTCAACACTGTGCACAGTGTTTATACATCTACACTTTACCATCTGCCTCTTTCTTTCTCTTTCCCTGAAAACTTGGAAGACTGCCCTGTGACCAACCACAGCCAATGTGGTGAGGGCAAGCACTGTACATTCGTGAAACAATGCCAGAGCCTATAGCTCTGGCCCCAGAGGGATGAGAGGTGTTCCTAGTCTGATTTTTCAGAGAACTCCTCACTAGTCTCAGGTCTCTCTGTTGAAAGAAAATGCAAGATTACAAGTACCATCTGGGCCACATGCTATGAGCAAATTTCAAATGAATCCTAAATTATAAAAAAAAAAAAATCAGAAAGATCAGAGACCTGGGATATATGCAATGCTCCGACCACACTCAAGGAGCTTCCAGAACAATTAAGCACATCATATCCTATAGGAACTTTAACTCATGAAATTGCATACTTTGTATGTTATGCCATCAACATTACAACAAGTTTTTCCCCCATCTAATTTGCTTCTTTGGTATGGGACTTTTTGGAGTTGAAATAAAAGACAGAAGACACATTAAAAAACAATACTAAAAAACACTCAGTGAAAGGATTTTGTTCCTTTTTTCTTTTAATTTGCCTATCCTTAAAGAACAGATCTTTCCTCCCCCACTCCAGTATGTTGACAGCCATTGAGGTGATGAAAATACCCAGTATAGTGAAGAGCTATTTTTAAAATCACTTGATTTAGAAAACTCCAATCATGTTAATTTCATGGGAATTCTTAGTACACAAATTAAAAGTTTTAAATTACTCTGCAAGAATTTGTTAATTCAAATAATCTTAATTAGAAAGTACCTGCATTGATGCATATTTATCAGGTGACTTTAATGTCTGTCCCTGATAAAAAATTATTTTGAGGGTTGTTTTATGAGTTATATAGTTCCATGGTCAGTGATGGCAGTAATGATGTAAGATGAAATTAGGAATCAGAAGTGTGGATTCTAGTCTCTCTTATTGACTCTCTGGATTTGAGAACGTTTAACTTCTTAGCCTGTTTTCTCCTGTCCAAAGAGGAATAACAATTCCCACCTCAAAACATTATTTAATGGCTCAAATGAAATGCACATGAAAGTTTAGTTGGCCACAGTCACTGTAATATAACATGGTATTAAAATTGCAAATCAAACGTGGGGCAGCAGATCTCAATTAGAAATTGCAGACAGTCGGGTGTAAAAAGGAATCAACTTGGCTGAATGTTTGTCAACTCACTAACCTGGGCCAGTCCCGCCTGGGTTCCCTCATTTGAGAAATGATAACTGCCCCATAAGGACGATGTAGGGATTAGAAATAATGTCTAAAAGGCTTCCAGCAGGGCAGGCACATAGTTGGTGCTCAATAAATGGCACCCATCTTACATTAAGGAATTCATTGAATGAAGCCAAGTATGCTACGTGTTTCAACACTCACTCCTAACAGCTGAGCACTGTTCTGCTTAGAACAGTACATCCATTAGCAAAGTCCCAAATATACTTCTGCCAGGGCCAGAGCCCTGCTTACCAACTACGTTAGACTCCAGTGGATTAAGGCTGTTCTTGTTGCATTCACATTTCCTGCCTTGAAACATTATTTCATAAAACCTACTAATGGAACCTCACTTAACATAATTATACTACCCAAAGTGGCAACTTCAGCCTTTTCCCTAATCTACTTTGATTAGTTAGATGAACTTCACTTTTTGCTACTTATTTAGGGACAGGGGTGGTACCTGAGGAATCAGATAAGGAAGAAGTCAAAGTGAATCTGCTGTTAGCTCCTGAGGCTAACAGCCACAATTTGGCCACAACACGCAGCCTTTTAGAGCGCCTGCCCAGCTCCAGAGGGTTCATCAGTCCCCTTGGAGGCATTGGGAGCGACCTGCAGAAGGGCACGGCTCCGATCGCGTCCAGCCTCACCCCTGGGAAAGCCAAGTGTGCCCCGCACTAGTCACCAAGCAGAGCGCGAGTTAGAGGAGTGGAGCTGGGAAGGGCGCATGCAGTTGGGTTAGTCTGAACTCGACCATGCGGCTTTGCATTCCTGTCTGGCAAACGCGCTTAGGCAAAACAGACTCGATGCTTACAATGATCCCAGCCCAAAATGGAGTGTCTCTGACTAGCAGGGAGGAGCTGATGCTCGCCATGAGGAAGCCCACCACGGTCACGGCGATGCCCAGRGCCAGCTGCAGCAGGGCTAGCAGCAGTGGGAACCGGCAGCCGCAGCACGTCCGGGCCTCCTCCTCCCCGCACTCCTTGGGGGCCCCTTTGCCCTTCTTCGGCCCCATGTCGTCGGGCCTGGCGGTGTCCGCGGCCGGCGGCCCCCCCTGCCTCTGCTGGCCGCGGGGCTGCTTGTCCTTGCCCATGGCGGCCGCGGGGGTGGGTGGCGGGGTGGGAGCGTGAGCAGCGCCCTGGGCCGGGAGCGCGGCGCAGGGCGGGCTGAACCTGCCCTGGTATTCGAATTACGGAGGCTGAACAAATATGGAAAACATTTGGAGCCGACTCRTGGAGCCTCCAAAGGCCGCGGGGAGCCCGCGGCAGAGGGGGATTCAAGGGGGGTCGCCAACTGCCAACGGTCCGAGATGCAGCGCCTGACCGGCCCCGGGGCGGGTTTCCCATCGCCAGTGGGAGCTGGCGCGAATCTTCAGGCCTCCTAAAATCTGAGCACTGTAGACAGGAGTGGAGTAAGTGAGTGAGTGCGGAGTGTGTGCATGTGTAGTGTGTGTGTGTGTGTGTGTGTGTGTGTGTGTGTGTGCGCGCGCGCTCGCAGGGGCCGTTTTCCTTACTCAAACCCTAGGTTTGTTGTTGTGTTTTTGTTTTCTGGGAGGTGCAATGCAAAGTGATGAATGTTTAAATCATTTGAGTTTAATTAATAGACAGTTTAATCCGAAATAGGCTTTGCTGCGCTCCAAGCTGTGAAGTCACTTCCAGAAGTTAGATTGTTCTTATTTTCCAACAATGGACTCTTCTAAATTCTATAATCCAACCAAAAAATAAAGGTATTTTCCCCATTGAGGTATTTGCTTTTTGAAAAATTATTTGTAGAGATGGTGGGCTAATGGTGAATTCTCCATTATTTTTTAAAGCTCTTATAATAGTGTATATGGGTCAGGGCCATGGTGCACACTTGTAATCTTGTAATCTTAGCAAGTGGGGAGGCTGGAGCAGGAGGATCGATCACAAGTTCAAGACCAGCCCCAGCAAGTTGGCCAGGCCGCAAGCAACTTGGTGAGACCCTGTCTCAAAAAATAAAGTAAAATAATAAAATAAAATAGATGGAGTTCTCAGGCAGTCTTCATTTAACTAGACAGCAGTGGCTAGGGGGAGAGTCCACCCTAGAGAGGGGCAGTTTTAGCCAGACAACATGTAAAAGTTAAATTTAAGCACCTACAATGTGCTAGGATAGAAGGGTGTTGGCCCCAAGTCACAAAGCAAATGAATAAAGCTGATTATAATTAATTCCTGCATACCTCTAGTCAGTACTGCTTACAGCAAATTTCAGTGAAACCACTAAGAAATGATACCATCACTTCCACGTATTTATATGCCTTTGGTATGGTCATTTTAACATCCAGAAACCTGTATTCAAAAAGAAATGATTTGCCAAGATGGGATAAATTGTTTTCAATCAACTAACTTAAAGAAAATCTAATTTCCTTTTGTTTCCTCAGAATTATTAAATTATTAAATTGTTATCAGCTCTCCTTATAAACTGCCAACTCCCCACAAAAGTACCTTTGAGAACATAAAATATATACTTCACCCTTACTTATTTTATTAACTTCAGTGTTTTTCTTATACCTTCCTTTTGGACAAGTGAGAAAAATATGGTCCATGGAACATAGAAAGCCAACTCACTACCTATAATTAATTATTCGTTTTTTATTAATAATAAAGCTAGCCAGACACAGTGGAGTGTGCCTCTAATTCCAGAGTCTGGAGAGGGTAAGATAGGAGACTTACAAGTTCGAGGCCAGCCTCAGAAACTTAGTGAGACCCTGTCTCAAAAAATAAAAAGGATGAGGAATGTGGCTCAGTGGTTCAGTACCCTTGGGTTCACTCCCCAACACCTGCAAATAATAATAATAATAATAATAATAATAAAAATAGGACAATTACTGAATATTCTGTAGCAAGCACTTTCAGTGTTTCATATTACTTCCTTATAAGCACTTTATGATTATAGTTTTCATTGTTAAAGATGAAAAATATTGATTATCAGAATTAAGTAACCAGATTGTGAAGTCACTCACCTAGGTAGGGATGAGAATCATGAAAACCAAATGTGAAATCCAAAGTCAGTGGCCTTGTGGAGTACTTATTTTGTTAATCAATTCCTGTATGTACACTGCTTATGGACAAACAAGTGGGTGGACTATTTAAATTGTTTATGACATTAAACAACTTAATTATCATAGGTGTTATTCTTTCTATCATAGAATCATCTGTTATCTTGAGCCTAAGGCTATCTGAGTACTTTACAAAACTACCTTGATGTACTACCATAATATATACAATAGTCAATTGCTATGATTTGAATAAATACTCCCCAAATGCCCATGTTTAAATGTTGGGGTCCTCAGCTTGGTGCAACTGGAAAGTGGTAGAAAGCTTTAAGAGATGGGGCTTAGTCAAAGATGTTAGATCATTGTGGTTGTGTCCTGAAAGGGAATTTAGGAACAGGCCTCTTCTCTTTCACTTCTGTATCCTAAGGTAAATGAGTGTCTTCTGCCAGGTGCTCCTGCTGTGATGTATTGTGCCATTACAGGCCCAAAGCAATGACACCAATCCAGAATAGACTGGAACCTCCAAAACTCTGAGCCTTTCCTCTTTTTCTGTTGATTTATCTTGGGCATTTGTTATAGTAATGGGAGGCTGACTAACACATGGGTGGAGATCATTACTCCTGTTATTAACAATTGAGGACTAGATACAGGCTCTGTTTGTTGATGATAATGCTGGGTTGGCATTTAGCTAGGAATAAAATATTTCTATTCTATTCCTTAAAACATTAAGTTTGATGTAAGTTATAGTAGTTAAACAAGAAAATAGGGTATTCCTGTACATGTCTTCTAAGTTTCAGAATTAGAATGATTTAAAGTTGTGTATATACTAGTCCCCCCTTATTGATGATGGATATAAAGACCCTCAGTGGATGCCTGAAACTGCAAATAGTAGCAAACCATGTATACACACACACACATACACACACACACACACACACACACACACACACTGTTTTCCCTATATGTTCCTGTGATAAAGTTTAATTTATAAATTAGGCACAGTAAATTAATAATAAAATAGAATGATTAAGATAATTACTGCAATAAAAGTTACTTAAAACTTATGAATTGTTTATTTCTGGAATTTTCCACTTAAAATTTTCAAAAAGCAAAACTGTGGATTCGGAGGATAATTGTGTGTTTTTATAGTAAAGACTTAACTATAATTGCCTAGCTGAGACTAGCTACAAATGAAACCAGTAACAGTGAACAGCATCCTAGATAAATTGTAATCCTTTGAGTCTGATTATAACTGCCTAGTTCAGTTTTCAGCTTCTAGCAAAGGAGACAGTAATGTACAGTTCTTCACTCCTGCTCAGATTTCCAGCAGCTTGGATAAACCCGTGTTTGAGGGGAATCACCCTTGGCAATATCACAAGATAATAGTGGTGAGGATGGCATTTTCATTCGAATGATATAGGAAAGTCAAAGAAGAAGGTGAGAAGAGTTGTTGTCAAATGGTTAGTGATTGAGAGCAGTCAAAGCTCGAAATGAAATTAGATGGTCATTAAGGACAGAATGAGAAAACTCTCCTTTCTATTGGTAAAAATCACCTTTCCAGTTCATCATAGATGTCACAGAAATAAACTGGGGCTTCTTTAGTATTCATAAATTATGATGTCACTGTTTTATAGGGTATGTAATAGCTTCTTCATGCACTTATATTATTGGGATAAAAGGCAAAGTAGAAACAAATTGTTTTCAGATATTCTTGGTTATTCTCGTAACTCAAAACTTATAGAGATTGTAAACTAGAAATTGCAGGAGAGTAGTTAACACGTAGTTTGAGATTATTTTGATTCTCAGGGAAAAATTTAAATTAAACTTAGTACCTCTATCTTTGTAGTATATCTCAAATTTAGCATTATTTTGAAGTATTTTTGCCTCAGAAGCTTAGATTAGGGAAGATGACAACTCTTTTAAAAGTAACATCATTAACAAAATGTCCTTAGGAAATCCAACTAAAAATAATCTAAACTAACATTTCTGAGCACATAACTTGCATTGGCCAAGAACAACAACAACAAAAAAAAGATTTCAGAAAGAAATTATTAAAGTTCTAAGGCTTATATCAAGTTTCTGTAAAATGTAATTAAGTATATCAAAAGCATCCAGTTAGATTTGATTTAAAGGAGTATCAAATACACTGCAGAGAATAATTGGGAACTTGTTTGTTGTATTCAATACCGTTATCTCCAAACATCTCACTGGACTCCATATCTAAAATGACTCCAGGGTTAATGCTGATCCATGTCTGTGCCCATATACACATGTAGAAAAGAAAAAAAAAAACTATCATATAGTTTTCCATTTTATTTTTTGACATCATTAATTTGAAATGTGTCTTTAGGCCTATTTTGTTCTCAAAAGAATTGACCCATTTATAATTTTTGCATTGCAGTTTATATTTTTGAGTTAAATGTCATGTAAGCAATGTTCTCTTTATAGTCAACAGTGGGCTTGTGATTTTTCTCATCCTATGAAATTCTGTAGAAGTGATAATTATCAATTATTTCATCATGCATTTTATCTATTTACAGAATTTGCCTTGTATTTATAATTTCAAATTTTTCAACATGTAAATTTGATGTTTTGACCACATATGATGAGCTATTAATAACCAAATTTATCTTAATTAATAAATGCCAGGATAACAGATAAGTAAATTATAATATATTTGACAGTAAAATAGGACTTTCCAATAAGAAAAGGAATGAACTATCAATATAGACAATGACTTGGATTAATCTCACTAATAGTGTGCTAAGAAAATGAAAACAGGCACAAAATAATACCTACTGCATGATTCTATTGATATAAATTCATTTTAAAAAATCAAAGATAATCTGTAGTCATAGAATTTGAACAGTGATTATGGAGTTGAAATGAAAGAATTGACTGGGAAGGTCTAGAGAAGATTTTCTGAGCAATGGAACTAAGTCTTCCATATCTTGTATGGTGGTTGCATGGGTATAAACCGTTGTCAAAACTCCATGAAGAACATTTAAGATCTGTGCATGTTGTATGTAATTACATCTTGATTTAAAAATATATAATAGAAAAAAAATACAGGGAGTTGGTGGATATCCATCAGCAATTAACAGTTCCATAAGTGGCGATAAGTTTAAATTCTGGCCTAAACTCTCCTCACTTCTTTCTTGCCCTGGTGACTCCTCTGTATTAATT